TTAAAGGCGTGTTGTTTCGTCTCACAACAAATGTACCTCCACCACCTCCAGCAGGTTTTGAGTTGTTTTTCATTTTTTTCCCTTCTTGACCAACAAGTATATGAATGATCTCATCTTTGGTCAAAATAAAGTTTCCAATCATTCGTGCCCCTCTACCACCGTTCTTGATGATACTGTCCTCGCCGTACCCCCCTGAGGCTCCTATTGCTTCTATTCTGTATTCGCCAGTGTGTGGCACAGTCCATTGTTGAATACCGCTGGACAATGTAACTTGCCCGTCGTGATCCTGACCTGCGTAGTGACTTCCAATTTGGACTGGACCCGTAGTTCCATTTTTACCAAGAGTTGTAAACACTGCTGTAAATCCTGTATAATAATCGCAGAATGAAAGGGAAAGTTATCGTACTGCTAAGAAATTAATTGTCAAATTACTTTGCGTATTGCCAATGTTGCACACTACCGCTTACAAAAAAAAGTATTCCTGTAAATTCGGCAGATATGGCTATCTTCTATCGGTATCTTCGCACTGGCTCTGGTAATGATCATAGAATCTACTTTCACCCGCAAATATGCTGTCACTCTTGCTGGTAACTCCTCGGAAACTGGTAAATTCACCAAGCTGCATAGTTTTCAACGCCGCAAAATGCAAATTCGTTCACATCTTTAAGAAGGACATCGCTCGAGTGTGTACCTTACGCTTAAGACCTAAGCATCACTGATTCCCGTGATCTCCAATGGGCAGAGCATGCAGGAGAAATCACCTCAAAGGCCAACAAAACCTTTCGCGAATCAGGCGAGCTTTCCGCGGTGTCAATGACATTTAGATAAGGAAGCTGCTGTGCTGTCCTGTGGTCAGACCCAAACTTAAATAATACTCCTGCCTATGGTCTCTTTATTATACAGTCTCTATACATAGCGCATTAATTGAGAAAATCCAAAGGTCTCTGACTAAGTTTATTCTTAATTACCCATTGAATAACGTCTCTTATGCTGATGGGCTCGTTCTGCTGGGCCTGCTGCCGCACAGAAATTAGGGACATTACACTATACAAACTATACAATACAAACTTTATTGACACTCCCTAAAAGGGTTTCCGTGACAATTAACACTCTTGTACAAGTTTAAGTCTGGTGTTATGTCCACCAGAAAAATTTGGAGAGATAAGATAGAATGATAAAATAACAGTTACCTATGCATTTGGTTCCATTTCCACGAAATCCATCTTTACACGTGCACTTGTACGATCCCAGGGTATTGTTACACTCAGCATTCACATCACAGTTGTGTGTTCTGTCAGCACATTCGTCCAAGTCTAGAGAATCAAAAAAGAAACATCTTTTGTACGGAACCTGTTTTTATGTTTTTATCTCGTTTTTTATGGTGTTGTTGTTTCCCGTTTGTTTGCTTTAGTAGATTTTTGGGATGTTATAGTCAGCTACTTTATTCTAATTTTTTCGTTACCATGTTCCCGTAAATAGCGTAACTCCATATTCCGCATATAAACAGACACACAACCCACAATTCCCCCATTTGCTCTGACGAAGGACTAGCGCTCGATACTTCAGATTTTAAACTCGCAATAGTGGCCTATTTGACGTCATCAACTCACTTGATACAACTAAATTACCTTTGCAGTTAGTTCCATTTCCATGAAATCCATCTTCACAGATGCACTTGTAAGATCCCAGGGTATTGTTACACTCCGCATTCTCATCACAGCCGTTTGTTTCACTAGAACACTCATCTATGTCTGAGACAACAAAATGAGCGCCACATTTATGTAAGGGTTTGAGTGTATTTGACGTGCTCTAGCTAAGAGTGTTTTCACCTCCATGCTAACGTTCCCTGTTGTCAGATAAGAAATGGCCACACATTCATTTTACTGACTACAAAAAAATTTAGAGGATTCCTCACCTCTATCACAATCGTGGCCTTCAAATCCAGATCCAAAAGCACACAAACACTGATAATCTCTGTGCGTAAAGCCAGCTTGGCATGTTGCATTATTTCTGCAAGGATTACTGGCGCAAGCATTCTTAAGAAGAAAAAGAATGCGATCATTTAAATTTTTGTGTTTGTCTTCTGCTCGTGCATTAGTGTTTGCGAGTTCTGAATGTTATGCAAGTTTGTAAAATCTGCGCGTCTTCCATCATGTCCATGTATTCCGTGCAAGCTTTTTCCCGTTCCAAGCGTGGCACTGTTCAGAGCGAGAGCAAAATCAAAAAACAGCTCCAGAAGCGGTCATTCTTAAATAACAAAATATGCCTCTCTTAATTCTTTTTTTCAAAAGTTTAACGAGTTTAAGTTTATACTCTTGGCTTAAAAACGTCATCCTCACCTCAGCTCCGCGGTAAATGTAACTTTCGCTTTTCACCAGTTCTCCATCGTGTTCAATGGTGGCGTTATTCAGATCACACTTGTGTGTACCAGACGCCTGTCTTAGCTTATGGAAGTTATAACTGACACAGTTAGGTTCCAGATAGCACTGTAACCTGCAGAGATTCTCGTCGAATACTTCAATAGTTCGAACCGTGTGATTCTCCAACCTGTAGCCAGGTTTGGCAAAACTGGTAAACTTCAAATTGCGGAAGTTGCCTGGTGAACGATTATATTAAGAAAGTTGCTATTTGGCATTGAGCACCTCTATT